CTGCTTCAAGTTTAAAGGGACAGTGTCTTCCCTCGCAGCAATTGGGTGGCTGTGCTGGGAACTGATGGGGAGGGAGAAGCAGGCATGCAACCCTGGCTGCCGGGGACAGGTGGGTCACTGAGGAGCCCGCCACCCACCATAGTTCCCTGCTGGGGCTTTCCAGCTGCCATAGAGCTAAGGAGGATAGAAGGTCAGTCTTTGGAGTAGAAGAGTGGGAAAGGCTGGGAATGGTGCATCCTGGGATGCTGAAGGACTCCAAGTTGGTCATTTTATGTCAATGGAATGCTCAGAAGTTAACTTAAAACTACCTAGTTAACACCAATTAGTAATAAAATCACATCAGATCAAAAGTTACTAAAGAGCTGTGGGTGCAAGGGTGAAGGGGATCAGGTGATGTTCTCCTCGATTCTTCCAGTCAAGAGGAAGGGCCAGGGTAGGAGCAGATGCATCATGCAGATCAATGCATGACTGCAGAGATGTTGCCAGCAGGGCTTTGGCTACTTTGACCATGGCATGTTGTTCCAAGAAGAAGAATTGCTAGGAAAAGACAGGATCCATCTGATGAAGAAAGGGAAAAGCATCTTCACAGACAGGCTTCACTAAACTAGTGAGGAGGTCTTTAAACTAGGGGGATGGAGACCAAATCCCTGAGGTGAGGAGGTAAGTGGATGACCTAGAGAAAGCACAAGCAGAAGGGGACACCAAGTGAGGCAGCCTCATTCTTCATGAGAAAGTAGGGCAATCTGCTAGTTACCTTAGGTGTCTGTACATGAATGCACACAACTTGGGAAACCAGCAGGAAGAACTGGAAGTCCCTACACAGTCATGGAACTATGACATGATTGGAATAACAGAGAGTTGGTGGGATAGTTTGCATGACTGCAGTACTATTACTGGAGTACTGTAAGATTAGGGTTTGGGATGGGTACAAACTGTTCAGGAAGGACAGGCAGGGAAGAAGAAAAGGAGGAGTTGTATTTTATGCAAGAGCTGTGCAATTACTCAGAGGTCCAGCATGAAACAAGAGATAGGCCTGTTGAAAGTCTCTGGGTTAGAGTCAAAAGGGAAAGCAACAAGAATGGTGTCATGGTGGGGGTCTGCTATAGACCAGACCATGAGGATGAAATGGATGAACCTTTCTCCAGACAGCTAGCAGAAGTTTTCCAATCACAGGCCCTGGTTCTCATGAGGGATTTCAATCACCCTGACATCTGCTGGGAAGGCTATACAGCAGTGCACAGGAAATCCAGGTAGTTTCTGGAGAGTGGTGGAGACAACTTCCTGGTGTATGTGTTGAAGAGGCTGAAAGGGGCTGTGCTCTTCTTGACCTGCTACTCACAAACAGGAAAGAATTGGTTGGGGATGTAGAGGTAGATGGCAACTTGGGCAGCAGCCACCACAATATGACTGAGTTCAGGATCCTGAGGAAAGGAAGGAAGGAGAGTAGCAGAGCAAGGACCCTGGACTTCAGAAAAACAGACTTAGGCCCACCTGATGGGCAGGATCCCCTGGGAGGCCTGTCTAAGGGGGAAAGGAGTCCACGAAAGCTGGTTGTATTTTAAAAAACCTGAGGGTGCAGAAATGAAGCTACTTGATGCACAGGAAGACTATCAAGTATAGCAGAAAACCATCTTCACTTAGCAGGGAACTCTTCAGTGAACTAAAACGCAAAAAGGGAGCTTACAAAAAATGGAAACGTGGACAAACAACTAGGGAGCGGTATAAGATTATTGCTCAGCCATGCAAAGGTGAAATCAGGAAGGCCAAAGTGCAACCAGAGTTGCAACTAGTAAGGGACATGAAGGGTAACAAGAAAGGCTTCTTCAAGTATGTCAGTAACAATAGGAAGATCAGGCACAACATGTGTCCCTGACTGAATGGGGAAGACAACCTAGTGACAAATGATGCAGAAAAGGCTAAAGTACTAAATGCCATTTTTTACCTCAGTCTTTACAGGCATAGTCAGGTACCAGACTACTATACCTGGCAGCACAGTTTGGGGAGGAAATGAACAGCTGAAAGTGGTGAAAGAACAGGTTTGGAACTATTTAGAAAAAGGTGGATGTATACAAGTTAATGGGGCTGGATGCAATTCAACTGAGGGTGCTGAGGGAGTTGGCTGATGTGACTGCAGAGCCACTGGCCATTATCTTTGAAAACTCATGGCAATTGCAAAAGGTCTTGGATGTTTAGAAAAGGCCAAATATAGTACTCATCTTTAAGAAAGGGAAAAAGAAGGATTCAGGGAACTATGGAACAGTCAGCCTCACCTCAGTCCCTGGATAAACAATGGAGCAGGTCCTCAAGGAATTCATTTCTAAGCACTTGAAGGAGAAAAGGGTGATTAGGAATAGTCAGAATGGATTCACCAAGGGCAAATAATGCCCGACCAACCTGATTGCTTTCTATGTTGAGATGACTTACTCTGTGGATGTGGGGAGAGATTTCATAGACATTTGGGCTGGAAGGGACCTCATATGATCATCAGGTCCAGCCCCCTGCCCAAGGGGCAGCAAGTCAGCTAAGTTCAAAGGATCCCAGCAAAAGTCAGCTACGGTCAAAGGATCCCAGTCCAAATGTTTCTTGAATGAGTCTGGAGTAGGTGCTTGCACCACCTCGGGGGACTTTGTTCCAGGCCTTGGGAGCTCGGACAGTAAAGAAGTTTTTTCTTTTGTCCAGTCTAACACGGTCTTGCAGGAGTTTGTGACCATTGGACCTTGTCATTCCCTGGGGTGCTCTGGTGAACAGGTGTTCCCCCAGATCCTGATGCACACCCCTTATGTACTTATAGGCTGCCACCAAGTCACCCCTGAGCCTGCACTTCTCCAGGCTGAAGAATCCCATAGCTTGCAGCCTCTCTTCATAAGGCCTGTTCTCATATCCTCTGATCATGCGCGTGGCTCTCCTCTGGACTCTTTCAAGCTTCTCCACGTCCTTCCTAAATTGTGGAGCCCAGAACTGGATGCAGTACTCCAGCTGTGGCCTCACCAAAGCCAAGCACAGTGGGAGGATGAAATCCTGGGTCTTGCTCAAGATGCATTGGTAGATGCAAGCCAGAGCAGTGGATATGATACACCTTGACTTTAGCAAGGCTTTTGATATGGTCTCCCACAACAGTCTCACAAGCAAGCTAAGGAAGTCTTCTCCTTTGGCAAGCCCTCTCAGTCGAGGATGACTGTCTTCCTTGACTGTCTTATCTGTGTGTCTGATGAGGTCTATCTGGGATCAACAGGCTCTACTGCAGCACAGACATGTGTTTCCGAGTGGGGCAGGTAGCACTGGATTTTTTTATTTGGTCTGTGACACGCTGTTTCTGCCACTCTTGCTTTTCCATCTCCTGTTGTTATGAGGTCTCAAAGTACTGAGCTCCTTGCAGCAGGCTTCCTCCATTTGAGGTGGTCCTGGGTGATAGTCTCCCATGATGAGTTGACATCAATGTTGCATTTTTTTTAAGTTGGCCTTGAGGACATCCCTGAAGCACTTTCTTTGCCCTCCTTTTAAGCATATGCCTTGGGTGAGGTGGGAGAATAAAACTTGCTTCCAGAGTCTGGAGTCAGACATCCAGATGACATGAACTGCCCAACTAAGTTGATGCCGGATGATAATTGCTTCAGTACTAGTGATGTTTGCTTGAGGGGGACACTAACATTGGTGCATCTGTCTTCCTGCTGGATTTGGAGGATCTTCCGCAGACAACGTTGATGGTACTTCTCCAACAGCTTTAGATGTCTCTTGTATCTTGTCTATGACTCAGCTCTGTACAGCAAGATAAGGATCATGACTACTTGATAAATCATGAGCTTTGTTTCGGATCTGATGTCACAATCTTTGAACACCCATTTCTTCAGGCATCCAAAGACTGCACTTGCATATTTGAGGTGATGCTGGATTTCATCATCTATGTCACCAGAAGCAATAGATGGCTTCTGATATATGGGAAATATTCAACAATCTCCAGAGTCTCACCATGGATCTGGATTACCAGAGCTGGGGACTGTTCAGTATGAGCTTGTTGGTGGAGAACCTTAGTCTTTGGAATGTTAAGCATCAGTCCCATTTTGTTGTATGCCTCAGTAAAGATGCTGACGATTGCCTGAATGTCTGCTTCAAAGTCAGTGCCCACTACAGCATCACTACGACACTCTCACAAGCAAGCTAAGGAGGTATGGGTTGGATGAATGGACTGTAAGGTGGATAGAAAACTGGCTGCGTCATCAGGAACAAAGGATAGTAAAACAATGGCTTGATGTCTAGGTGGCAGCTGGTATCAAGTAGAGTGTCCCAGGGGTCAGTTCCAGGGCCAGGTTTGTTCAATAACATCATCAATGATCTGGGAGATGGGATGGAGTGTGCCCTCAGCAAATTTGCAGATAACACCAAGCTGGCTAGAGTAGTAGATAGATCCTAGCCTTACCCAGCTAGGAGGGTAAGGCTAGGATTCAGACAGACTATTCAAATTTGAGGACTGGACCAAAAGAAATCTCATGAGGCTCAATAAGGACAAGTGCAAAGTCCTGCACTTAGGATGGAACAATACCATGCACCAGTAAAGGCTGAGGAAAATGACTAAGTAGCAGTTCTGCATAAAAGGACCTGAGGGTTACAATAAGATGGATATGAGTCAACAGTGTACCCCTGTTGCAAAGAAGGCTAACAGCATACTGCTCTGAATTAGTAGGGAAGTGATTAGGGAAGTGCTTATTCTGCTCTGTTCAGCATTTGTGAGGCCATGTCTGGAGTACTGTAGCCAGTTTTGGTCCCCACACTACAGAAACGATGTGGACAAATTGGAGAGTCCAGCAGAGGGCAATGAAAACGGTTAAGGGCCTGGGGCACATGACTTCTGAGGGGAGGCTAAGGGAACTAAACTTATTTAGATCGGAGAAAAGAAGACTGAAAGGGGATTTAATAGCAGCCTTCAACTACCCGAAGGATGGTTCCAAAAAGGATGGAGCTGGACTGTTCTCAGTGGTGGCAGATGACAGAACAAGGGGCAATTGTCTCAAGTTGCAGCAAGGGAAATTTACACAGGTTACCCAAAAAGGTTGTGGAATCTCCATCCTCGGAGGTTTTTAAGACCCAGCTAGACAGAGCTTTAGCTAGGATGATCTAGTCCTGCTTTGAGCAGGGAACTGGACTAGATGACCTCCTGAGGTCCCTTCCGATCGTAATTTTCTATGATTCTATGATTTTTTTTCCTTTAAAGGAGAATCCATTTTTAAAGTTTTTCACAACTCTTTCATATATTCTTGCAACCCACTTTTGGGTCACAACCTACAGGTTGAGAAACACTGACTGAAAGGGCATTTAGCACTAGTTAGTGAGCCTGAATATGCAATCTTTCACCTTTTAAGCACTCTTTACATGAGCTAATTGGAATGCTTAATCTCACCCTAAAAAAGCCTCTGGGCCTGGGTTTATAGGTGTTTTCACCCAGATTGGCCAGATGGTGGGTCTGTCTTTGCTTTGACTTGGGATGACGTATGCTCATTTTGCAGTGAGAATGTAGGCAAAAATCCTTTGAGTGCTGATTGCCCTTATACACCCTATCTGTAATACTCCTGAAGGACATATCGGCCTGGAAAAAAAGAGCTCAGTGTTTCAGCACAAAGGACCATAGGCTGTGCCTCCAGAAGCAAAGAGAAGAAACAACGAGGCTGCATTAATCCAGGCATGGCTTTCAGTGGAGACACTGCAGTGTAGACATAATTTAATTAGGTCAGGAAGACGTTGAGAAAGTCAGTGGAAAAACACACTGCTAAAACATACATACTGCTGACCTGACTGAAGCACAAATTAAACTATCTGCACCAAGCAAATATCTAAGTTTAAATCTGGAATGTCACCCTTGGAGATTGTGGAGTGACTCCACATTCACGCTAATATAACTGAGACGCAATTATGACATAACTTACCTGTGATCTGCTGCTTTTTTTTGTTGTTTTAAACCTAGCTAAAATAAAAACTATATAAAGAACTTCCTGGAACACTTGGTTTAAAGAAAAAGCATGTGATTTTTCGCTAAAAAATCCTTTTCTCTTAGCACCATAGTCAGAGTCAAATATAGGCTCTCAAAAAAAAAATTTTGACATTTCAATCTAATAGTGAGCTCACCCACCCACTTGAATAGTAACCAGAGAATGCTTCAGTGATGAATACATTTGTCATCTAACTGCATCATAATTTTCCCACCTGCATACAGTAATGAATTAATTTAGATGTACTAAGAAGTGCAACTCGGATACATTTTACATCCCTACAGAAGAGAAAATGTCCTTGTGTTCATAAAAGACAGCTGTTGGCCCTTTGTCAGGCTGATTCTCTCAAATGATTCACTCCTGAATTCCAAAACTAACAGCAGCTCTGTGAATTCAAGGCAGGCAGGAATGAGCCCCAGATTGCAACACACCAAATATGTGGTGACATGAAATCATCCAAATTGCATAAAAAGGGAAAGATTAGATCCCTGCAGTGACTCTCTAGGAGAGGATGCTACCAGCAACTCCATTTAATCCAAATCCAAATTGTTTAGAGAGATCCCTCTAAATCCCTTGAAACTTTGGCTATACCTTTTTTGGAAAATAATTTCCCCCGTGTACTACAGTTATGTGTAGTACAAACTTCACTGATGGAAACTTAAAAAAAACCTATAAACATTCCCTTGCTAGACAACAATGTAGGAAAACTGAAAATGAAGTTGACAAGCAAATGTTACAAAACCAGAGGTACAGAGTTGTCCATTTATTCTATACACACTGAAGAACAAAGGGAGCCCAAACCCTCAGTAATCTTCATGCACTACTGATCTAAGAACAACATTAATAATCTGATCATATCTTATATTTAACCTAGTTAAAAGAGGTTTACTTAAAAACTAGCATTGTGTCAAACATCATTTTAACCAGCATGACATTTAGAATTGTATTTTGTATTTTTAAATACTTTAGCCCCAACCTAGAACTATTAATTTATCTCTTTAAATACTTCATCTTAATTATGAGCTACTAACACTTACCATCTTGACTGCAAGCCCCATAAAGTTTGATGACGTGAGGGTGGTTAACCTGTTTTAAGAGATTGAACTCTGAAAGGAGATCTCTCAGCTCACTCTGGGAAGCATTTTCTACAGAAAGCATGAACAACAAACTGATTATTAAAACATCACCCATAGAATGCTCTATCTAATTCAAACTATATACAGCCATACTAGTCACTATATAACATACTTGTGATGTAAGATCAAGAATTTCAGAATGCTCTTGAAACTAGCTAAGGGGTTAAAGACTTTGAGTATTGTACTTCAGCTTTGTAATGTATTCTGAGAAAAGACTGTGCCTAATTCTCTTTGCCCTGCAGTCATTCCCAACAGTGCCAAGTGAGCACAGAACACTGCCATTCTGACTGGCTAACACCCATTTTGCACTAGTGAAAATCGCTACTCAAATGCAAGGCAATGAAGAATCAGACTTAAAGCCTTTCTAGCCTTACAACAACAATGTGATTACAACAGTTCTTTCTTACAGAACAAACAACATTTTGAAAGTTCAGACCAAATGCAGGAGGTATCTTCAAAATGACCGGAGCAAGTTTACATGATGAATCCAACCAGGCTGATCTAAGAAGCCAAACCTTTCTTCTTGATCTGAGCTGCCCAAATAGTCCTCTGAACAAAACCAGACTCAGGACAACTCTCTTTTCACCATAAGTACTTCATTCAAGATGATAAAATTCAGTTTCCCTTGTTAGTCTCGCATGTAATAAAGAAACTGGGCAGAGAGCTTACTGACATATTGACTTCACTGGGAGGCATGTGTGGAGATTTTCCCACTGATGACAGTGGGAAAAACTTATGTGTATCTAGGGCAGTACATATTCTTAAAGAGTTCCCTCAGTTTTACAAGCTATTTTGTTTTTGAAGAGACTCAACTTCCTCTTCATACACAATGGGACTCCAGGGAGTTTTTAAATCACAATAAAACCAGGGAGAAAACTCTGCCTATAGTTCATCCTGAACCTCCCTCACATGAAGAACCTTGAAGGGAAGCTTCTCTAGCCAATCTTTTTATTTAGAGGCTGACAAATAAATTCTACTATATATTGTCTTATTCTGGATTGTAAATTCTTTGGGGGAGGGACCATCTTTTTCTTCTGTGTTTGCAGAGAACACAGCACCATGTGGTACTGGTCCATGACTGGTGCCATCTCAGTAAAAATTGACAGCTTTGACTTGATTTTTAAAAATATTATGAAAGGAAATGTAATGATGTGAAAATACACTATTTTCATGCCCCTGGAAATACAAACTATGGCAAGGGCAGCACAAACTACTGCCCTGCTATTGGGTCTCAGTTTTGATCTGGAAGGACTACTTTCTGGGGAGATAAGATAAACTTGCTCATTTCAGTCTTCTGCCTTTCTGTTGAGGCTTTTAGCAGTGATGATGGCTTTATGGTCCAGGAGGAAGGAAGGAAGGAAGGAACTATTTGTTGGGCTTTTAAAATTAATTTTATTCTCATTAAATTCTTATCGCATGAAAATTCAAACTAACTGACTTCTTGTTGCTGAAGCAAAAGAAGCAGATATGAAAGACCTACCTCCACCCCTTAAACCAAGACCCAGGGAGAGGGACTGAACACCTCCTTAAAGCAGCTACTATTCTTTTGCCACCCTCCATTTCCACAGGATATTAGAATCACTGGCCAAGTCTGTCCCTAACGGCATCCGTTGTGGCAAAGTAGATTAGGGATACAAAAAGAAACAGCTCCTCCTGCAGTAAACAGGCACTTACTTACAAAACTGATCTGCCAGTGCCCTATAACCTCTAGGAAGTTAAACGTCATGAAGAAGTTAAGATTAAAGTTCATCCAAATGCAAAGAACCAGAAGAGATGTGTACCCTCACCCTAATGTAATGTCTGATGCAACATTTATTCGAGTCAATGGAAGTCTTTGTTAAGTCATCTTTTATACTTTAAAATAACCTTTAAATACAGTTCTGGACCAGTAATGTTTTCTTTACCCTTTTACTTTAATGCTTTGTAAATTATAACACAGGGAAAAGAAAAATATTACACAAAAATACGTGCTTGTGCACACACCATGTGAAGGGAAATGGGCAAGTATTTCCTACAATCAAAGCCGCATGGAATATTTATTATAGCGACTTGCAAAAAATATGTATTGCAAAGGAATACATTAGAGCTGTGCTCTTAGAATTAATATCATATACATTTATTAAAATAGGACTGCTTAAAACAAATAGCAACCCCCTACCACTATCAAATCTGCCCCATTTAATAATCATCTGGAATTAAAACTGTCATTGTAACAAAATATTTAGAAATTTTAACCCAGTTGCACATTAGTGATGAATAACCTGTTAAAAGCCAGGTACTTGTAAATGGATAAATAGAGTTGGCATGCTGTAAAGATTATGGATATTCCTTTAATAATGCCATGTGAAAGGTTATGTTAGTGTGACATGTAGAGCTATATTAGTTTTCATCTCTCTGGAGCCAAGGTCTAGGGTTTCCTCTATGTGCTCCATCTTTGATAACATCTCCACTGAACTCTCATTATTAAGAAGATTTTTATAATGCAAACATGTACTTTGTACTTCATCCCATTACCTAACTGATGAAGTATAACATTTCTTTGCTCTCAAACAGAGGGTGACATATTTCTTTTTTTATTATAGTTTGCACATAATAGAAATTCTAATAAGAAAAGAAATCTAATATCCTATTATAATTACATATTGTTATTCACAAACAGCAATGAATGGTTAAGGTCTTCCACCCATGGCTTGCTCCCCATCAACACTAAGAACACTTCTATTACCCAGAAACCTTTCCAAAGACTTGTGTTTCTCATTATAACTCATATCCCTAGGTGCTTATCTCCATGGAATCAATGTGCCACACACATTAGAATCTATAAAAAAAAAAAAGATTTATTTCTCTCAACTTTCCGAAGGATGAAATTTAAGTTACCTTCCTGATTTAAAACAAACAAGCAAAAATAAGGCCTTTTAAGAAAACAGAACTAAAGATTTCCATCTTTTAGTGTGGCTAAGGCCCCCATTCTCATCCCCTGCCCCCCAATCAGTCTGATGGTGTCACTAGCAACACTATTGTAAGCTTGTTAGGATATGGACACATGTAATACTTATATTGGTTAAAATTCATTTTAAACCTAAACAGATGTAGCATCCTCTTAAACTGGTTTAAAACTGCCTGGAATGGTTCAAAAGTTATCTGGAAAATGTCTGATTCATTCATTCATTCCATTCATTCATTCAAATCAGTGGAAGCCCTCGTTAAATCATCTTTTATACTTTAAGACAGCATTTAAGTACAAGTCTGGACCAGTGATGTTTTCCCCTGGAAAAAAATAGCTCTATTTTGAACCAGTTAACTGTGTACCAGGTCATTGATATGAGTGAACATCAAGTGTGCCCTGATCCAGGTCTAGTCAGCCCTCTGGGCATCCCATAATGCATTGCTCTATACCCTCCACAGTGCTATAACTGGTCACTCAATATACAACCAAACTCTACTGTCCCCTGTTCCCTTTCTTCCCTAATGCTGAGCTCCCTTGTTCTGCTTGTTCAATCAAAGCTATCATTACCTTACTCCCTACTTGACCATAGCCCTTCATCATGCAGTGATGTTTTGGAACAGTCCAGTTGTTATGTATGTCCACACCCAAAGGCGCTAGAAATTAAGAGTTACATGTGACTGCATTGGTGCTGTAGACAATGGGCTAGCAATACCTCAACTTGAAAAACAGGGCGTTTTTGGACAGTCTAGAGAGAGTAAGGACACACCACTACTTTGGTTTTTCCTCCTTTATAACCTCTTAAAAAAAAGGTAAGTATGTGTGGAAAAATGTTGTGTCAAATTCTGTAAGGTGCTTAGCGTAAATCTTTTCCATCTCTAAAGCCTCCAAGTAAAGCACATTTAAAACTCAATGGACCAAAACACAAAACATAAAACAACAAATCTTAACATTTATATAGCAGTTTTCAGAAGTGTTCAGCTCTGGCTAAATCAGCTCATATTGACATCAAACAAGTATTTTCCATGGGCTTTAATGGACTGGAACCAACACCAAATACTTAAAAAAATCTCACCCTTTGTAAACTAAGTGTTTTATAAATTGATAATTATTTCTATCTTTGGCTTTGTTTGGTTGGCAAATATCATTTTTGATAAAATTTCCAATAGAAAAATTGAAGCAGGGAGATATAGAAGAAAACTAATCAGGACTTCCTGATTCCCTGCTCAAAACCACTAGAGCATAGCAGATAACAAATGCATGAGGTAGTTAGCTGCACTTGCCAAAGGAGGCTGCTGCCTATGGGGACAGAACAAGTGTTACATTTAGATCGCCACAGCCAAGGTTAGGACAATCCAAATGGCCCTGCATGCAAGTGTTTGCAAGGCTTAGGTCACCTTAAAATGGTGTGCCCCATCCAAACTTAGTTCACTTCAGAGGTAAACTAACTTTAGATTGATGAAGGGTTAACCTGATCTAGGCAGGGTTAACCCAAATGAATGAATGTTTGCATGTGTTCACAGTACAGCTCTGGGGCTGGGGAAAGCCCAGTGACTCACCACAGCCCCAAGGTTGTTCTGTTCTTACTCCCATGACCCTGACCAAGCTATCGTCTCCCTGCCTTGACTACCTCACCCCACAAACTGGACACCCCTCCTTGAACCCATCAATCCTCCCTGCAGATCTGCTTATCCCCACCAGCCCTTCCTCCCTCTGACTTACCTCTAGCTACTCACACTTCTCCCAGCAGGCAGCAAACACCTTACACACTGCTCCTGGCTCAGGTTTAGGTGGCTTAACTATACTAAGCCACCTAGTCAGATTTGCGCCCCATGAACATTTCTTTGCACCCTAGGCTTGAGTTAATCTCACCCTGCTCTGCCTTCTATCTCATAAATGCATGGTAGAACTTAAACCAAGAAGCTCCAGAAAGCAGATAGGTAACTTACTAGTTCTGTTTCTAGACATTGGTACCTATACACATGGTCTGAAGTGTGGGGGGGGGAGAGTTTTAATTAGAGCTCTTGGGAGCTGTACCCAACACCCACAGTGTCTCGTGTATTCAGCATCTCGTATTTCAAAATGGTGGTAGGGCCGCTTTAACTACAATACATTCAACAATCTTTAATTAAAGTGCCCCCACTGCCATTTTGAAATGTGGGGACACTGAATATAGGATGCTGCAGCATGCCATTGCGTTCTGATTAGGACACTTTCATCGAGTCTGCTCTGACATTCTGATCAGAATGCATCAGAGCACATGTATAAGTGCCCTATAAATTCAGTGCAAATGCTCTACTTAAAAATATCTGAGGGAGAATTAAGGCAAAAGGAAAGAAAGTGCAGACAGCTTTAAAAAGTCCTTGCATCTCTTCCAAAGACAGCTTAAATGAGATGCATTTAAAGCTGGTCATGTTGCCTTTATGGAGCACAAGTTAGGTCTGGTGGAAACTACTGTTTGCATCAATGTGACACTCTCTCCTTTAGTCAGAAATATGCCAGAATATAAATAGAATGCTGGAGGGAATGCAGCCACTGTGCTGGTAGGACCGGCCTCCAGATGACCTCTTGCTTTCACGCTAAAACCTTGTCAAACACATTCAGAGGTTATCAAGCAGCTTTCAAATCATTTCAGTCAGAGATGGAAGCATACCTTTTAGCATTTTCACTGCCACAGTGGTATAGCCTGCTTTCCCTTTGAGTCTGAATGCTGTTGCCTTGACTACCTTTCCAAATTCTCCTTCTCCTAGAGTCTTGCCAAGAACCAGGTTCTTCCGAGGAAATTCCCATTTTGGGTCCTCCTGTTGGAGGAAAAAAGGAACTCTATAATATGAAATCAAATAGAAGGGACCAGTTCCTGTCTGGTGGTTCAAAAGATTCTGCTTTAAAGAAAATGCCCAATTATGCGACTATTTTTTGTTGCTTTCTTGCCAGACAGAAGACAATGTTTGCATTTTGTGATACCTTCTAACTTAGGAGCTCTAAGAAGCTTGGAACGTTTTTTTTTCCCCACTTAGCTCAAAATCATATCTAAGCGAATAGGCACTAAGTATATCTAAGGAATACCGAATACTTATAACAGCTGGTATTTGTACATCTATTTGAGGATTTACCTACAAATGAAAAGAAGTACAGAAAATCTGTTTGCTTTCAAATCAGTACAAATATTTGATTTTGGACTTCACAGTCTCCACAAATCTGTCTAACTTGTGGCAGGAGGATTTTCTCTCTAGAGTTCATCACAGACAACAATCCCTCTGTTATGTTATGAAATATTATTAAGCCTTACAGTTAGAGAAAGCTGACAGATGTATACACCAGCCAAGAAATAAAAGCAAATAGAGTATAAACTTTTATGAAGGCTTTAATATCCAACATCCAAATACAGCAGATGTTTCCATATGAGTCACACAAAAGGACAGTGTTTCACTGAACAGGACTTTTCCAAACACCACCATATTTACACCCGATAAAAAATAAATGAAAAAGCACAAGCTGGCAGGCATCTTGCCTTGTGATTGGGAGGTTAGGTAAAAAGATCTTCCCCACATGTGCAGAACGCTCACATTAGACTAAGCCTAAAAAAATTAAGTCTATCATCATAAGTTCATTTAAAATGTTGGTTCCATTTAAAATACTGTTGATCAGTATTCAGGTGAAATTCTGTAGTGTTTATTTCATGAAAGGTAGCTAAATACACTTGTTTTTGTGAACCGTTTAATGCCATTTACTGTAATTTTTGTTGGGTGAATTCTCTGGAGGATTGTTTTGCATTGTTCACATTATATATAGTAATTGTTGACTGACTACAACTAGTTTGTTGGGTAAAACAATGCTTAGATATTAACAATTTTTACCTTTTAACTAGACTCCAGATAAACATATTTTAACCTGTGTACTAAAATGTAGTGCACTGAGCAAGTTCAGCATGCAAAATTTAATAGCATGGGAAAAACAAAAATATATGGGAATATAACAATGATAACAGAGCTAACTTCTATAGGACCAGTAGTATCACTGCAAACAGAAGTAGCAACAGGGAATATAAAAAGTTGCAGACTTTCTGGAGAACAAGTTTACTTGAATCCAGTAGTTCATTCCACCAGAATAACCAATTTTTAGTTCCATGCCACAGGGTAGGTAGTGAGCAAACAATCAAACTACTGTACTAGAAGAGGAACACAAATACATGGCACAGCATTAGCTAACCATATGATTCTAATTTGTAGGGTGATGCTCTGTATTTGATAAATACTTTGCTTGTACAGTACATGTCGAGCAGGAATTTCAAAGACTTTATAAAACTATCTTTGTGTCTCCAGTGGGGGAAACTGAAGCAGAGGAAGATGACATGACTTGCCCAAGAAAATACTGTACGTCAGTAGTTAAGAGAATTCAGGTCTTCTCTATCCCAGCACAGTTTAATAAGTTAGACAGAGCTGTGCTATATATATATTTATCCTCATGACAGAACTACTGATCAGCAAATAGACTGCAAAATTTCAGTCATTAGAGTTTATTTTCAAGACAACAGCTTAAAACTTCACAGAAGTCGGTAGGATTTTTGCCTTTAAAAGTAAAATGGGATGAGATTTTGCCTAAGACATTGTTTTATTAGAAACTAACACAATTAGAGAATAGGTTTGTGTAGTGAACTATAATCTGCTTGATTACCTTCATTAAATATCTTCGTCTCATTTTCTATATGCATGTGAATTTTGTTTCATTTCATTGAATTAGAAATTCACATTAATAGAGTGCAATATCTTTATGGATTTCACACTCTCTGTCAGTGTAACTCTTGAAACAATAGGAGCTCATTTGGATAGAGGCTTTAGGTATACCATAGCAGGTTTAGTAAACAACATGTACTGCAGAACAAGAAAGCCAAGAAGGATCAGCATGCAATTTATGAGATAATGTAATAAAAGCTTACTGGTATTTTAAAGGTGTCTACTGACACCTGGTTTTCCATTGAGTCCAGTGATGGTCGGCGGACATTAGTGGAAGAATAACTGATGGGGTAGGACTGAGCAGGGCGCCGAAAAGTCATTTCTGCTGAGGCAATAGGTGGCTTTGGAGTATTCTTGTGGTAACGGTGAATGAAATAAGAAGAGAGCAACACTGAGATAATGAAGGACAGCAGAACTGCACCTGCTATCACAGTCTTGCACACATCATCACACAGCGTCTCTGTGAACCAAGGGAATTGGGTTAGAGTTCTGCTTGTTTTGTTTCCAGTTTCTTCCAGTTCAATTTCTCTTTTGGCTCCCTATTTGGTGGTTTACAGTTCATACTCATCAGCATGCACCTTTGGGCTGAGATGTACTGAAAATATCTTTCAAAGTTATTTTGCAACCTGAAACTTGGGATCTAGTTCTCAACAGAAAATACCTTACACAGAAGGTAAATTTGGTGCACTTCCAAATGTAAAATCTTATCTTTTTCCCAGGTGCAAGAGTATGCCCAAGTAATTGTTTAACAATGCCCCTAGTTATGATGCTGCTGGCTACACTTGAAACTACTTCTTCAATACTCAACTTATCACGTACATTCACTCTGATAAGACTTCAGTAGTAAGGCCTTCCCAATTCAAAAGTAGACTGCGGATTCTCAGAACAGTCTATCTGATATCTATGTCCAAGTCACCGGTTTATAAAGCCAACGGTTTATAAACGGTTTATAAAGTTTTTCCAAAAGATGTACATTATGAGTACTGTTACACCCCAAATTTAAAACATCGCTCTTGTGGCATTTTCCTACAAAGAACCCCTTCTTATTCATTTTTGGGAAAGGGTTTTTCTTTGTTGTGTTACTGTTTAATTTCTTTAATGTAATATGGTTTATAAAGTTACATGTCCTTCAGAGGGAAGATGTATTATTGTGCCTTCTGGAAGTAGGGTGTTGTGTGTGGATATGCATGTCACCATATCACCTCTTTGAGAACTTGATTGCTCCAGATATCATTCCCTATACTACAGTTCATCATATAATCCTTACCCGAACTCAGTCACTTGTGAGGTGCACCAAAAAGTCTCTCTCTAAAAAGTACATGAAAACAGTATACAATAGGAGAGACTTATTGAGGGGTGAAATGCCAAAAGCTGTGCATTTCTTTCATTTCTCCTTATACAACAGAATCGGGGAAATATTCATGCTATTGAAAATACTTGCAATAATTAGCTTTTCCATTCACTAAATACCTCAATTTAGCTTTGGTGCTTAACAATCATAGAAGAAGTTTATTAAAATAATACCATGCAACACCTGCAGCTCTATGATTCCATTCTAGTCATAATGAAATGATTTCACTGTCAATTCTGGAGAAGTGTAGGGCAACTAATCTGCTACCATGCATTGGAAGGATTTTTACAATCCAGGCTCAGGATACAGGACTTCCTTGTTTCATTATTTCTGTGCTGGTAGGTCATGAACAGGAACATTACACCCATTCAATTTTAAATGAATTCAGATGTTGTAAAAGGTTGGTGTCACAATAGCAACGTAACTATGAAATCACCTAAGTAATCTTCAGACTTACCAGTAATATAATCTTTCTCACAGTAACAGTTTTCCCTTGGAAAGCAATAACAAACCCCATATCCTGACTTAATTCCAAGAATGCCTCTCTCATGGCCACCAACGATGATCCCACCTGATCAAAATCAGACACAAGCTCAGATTCTTACACTGTAATTAAAGGCAAGGCAAAACAATGTTTTATGAATTTATTCTACTAAGTATTTGAGATTTGACAGCACACTTCATGTTAAGCAGTAAAAATTAAGATGGGAGGTAACACTGATAAAGGCCTTTGGGGTTTAGTGTAAAGAGATTAACAAAGTTAAAAAAAGGCAGGCTAAGTATTAGGCAAAAGGCAGGGTAGAAGTGCATCACCCTTGTGGTCACTAGTCTGATTAGCTATTTCAGGAAGGGTCTAATTTAATAACTAGGATCTGACAGGCAAGTTAGCTGAAAGACAAGTAGAGTTTTCTGTGGATTATAGTTTTACTTTGTAGGTGCACAGTTGGGAGAATCTTCTTCTTCTAAAATGTCTTTTAAAAGTTGAACATTTATCTCATTATCTAATAAGAGCATAGAAAAGTAGAGCTGGAAGGGACCTTCATACGGTCATCTAGTCCAGCCCTCTGATCAAGGCAGGAGTATCCCTGACTGAATTATCACAGCCAAGTGTCTGTCCAACCTGCTCTTAAAAACTTGCAAGGATGGGGATTCCACAACTTCTCTAGTTAGCCTGCTCCAATGCTTGACCCTCCCACCCTCCCCTTATAGGTCAAAAAGTTCCTCACAATCTTGAGCCTATATTTGATCTGCTGCAGCTTGAGGCCCTTGCTCCTAGTCCTGCACTCTATGGCCACAGAGAAAGGGCATCTCCATCCTCTCTACAAATACCTGAAGGGTGATTAAAGACTCTTATCAAATTTCCCCCTCACTTTATAGATGTTAAGTGCAGAAAACAAGTGGTTAGCAGATCTGGGTTATCTTCTTAGATCTGACATCAGTTTACTCCAAAACTGAGAATATTAGTAATCTCTTCACATTTCAGTTTCCCCATCTTCTAACGGATAAATATACTCACCCACTTCTGCAAAGTGGTTTGAGATGCTCTTGTAAAAGGCCCTATGTGGCAGTACTAAGTCTAAGGGCCCCTCTACACATGCAGGTCAAGGTACAATGGGACCTGACACAATCCACATAATCATGCCTTCTACCATGCATACCACATGCATGGCAGGAGGCATTATTGTAGGATCACAAACTAGATCCCATCATGCTTTAAAGCTGAATAGAAACCAGCTATAAAGTTATTACATTTTTTCCAGCTCTAACTTTATAACTGGTTGAACCACAAGGCATGATAGTTAATTTGCACATGTAGCCAGTCTATAAATTAACTATGCAATTGACTAGGTAATTGCATAATACATGTAACATATAGAGGAGGCCTAACTCTGGTATATAAAATTTTATTATGCAAGAGAATCTAATTTAGGCTAAGGACACAATACTGTGGCTACTTTTCATATAGAACTTAGCTAATTTAAGAGGGGAATTCCCATAAAGAGTGTTTGCAAAATCATGATTTAATTTTGTAACCAGTATAGGGAATCTGTAAGTACAAATAGAAACTACTGGTATTGGCAACATTTTTCATCTACTTCATATCATTAATTTCTAAGCACCCAATAGACCAAGCTTTACATGAAAATGCTATAGAATTTACAAGGGAATAAATTTCTATAGAAATTTAAGCAGGGTTCTTGAGAGGCTCTCTAAAATTTAAAGGAATTAAAATGGAGAATGAGGTCTTTGTTTTAGTTTTCTTTAAATCCATCCTAACGAATCCTATAGCAAGGATATTGTTTTCTAGGATGTTTTATTTAAAGATTAAAAAATCCAACTGAAAGCTTACTTCCTGTCCTGCTTCAAGAGCCTCAAAGTAGTAGTAAAGGATCATCCTAGACCAGGTGGTAGCTCAAGATTAGGGAATCAAAAAACAACGAAAAAAACCACCAAAGAAAACAAAAGCAAAACAAACGAAGTGATTTTGAGCTGGAAGAAGAAAACAGGATTCATCAAACTACCCCTAAAGACAAAGGCAAGTGGGCAAGATAAAACCCTGAGACTGACATTTTCTTTGTGGTTCAGGTTCTACAGAACCTACACCTACAGATGAACCTGAAAGGACTTCTTCGCATAAATCAAGGTTCACATGCTACAGACAGCCCTGACAAATGCACTGCTATTAAATGCATTGCTACTTACTATCCCTGACTATTTAGCAGGTAAGTGGGCTTCTTAAGTGGGCATTGTTTTAGTGGACTGCCCTGAAAGAAACATCCACAGTATGAGAGAGAGAACAGGTTTTTGGATTCAGGCACCGAGCCATCAGGATAGGTGAATTATAAAAATAACTTTTAAGAAATTGTACATACAAATCATCATCAATAGTACAGCATCTAAGGTTTTAATATTCATTGCCAACTATTATCGAAGTTTTTATTCTCTGCCAGTAAAAGCTTAGATAATGGCATTTCTCAGCACATCAGAGCTCCTGAAATGCACTAATTTGTTTGTCTAACTATACTACCTGTGGGCACCAACCCAAGTCCGGAACTACTTAAACTGATATATAGCATTCTCCAAATAAAGCATTAAAAAGAAAGTCTACAAAACATCCTGAAAGCTTGTCTTATTTGCCTTTTCCTATTATCTAATAACACTCCATTACTTTCAGGCTTCTGTTAAGCAAAACATCTTGATGCTATATATGTTGCATATTACATGTTTTAGTGAGGTAGCCTCTAGCATAGAGTTTGCTACTTAAAAATGAAAAACGATTCCCATTCTCACCAATGGGTATTTTTATATGATTACAGTAAAACATTTTATTTGTATGTAGACACTTCTGTCACAGTGATTTTCTGTGCATTCTAAAGAAAACATTATTTCTTGTGATGAAAGACACTTGGAGAATATGATTAGTTCATTGATTAGGATCTTATTAAAGACGTACATTTTTTAAAACCATAAACATTGTCATCCAAAGCAGAAAAACATTTTCCCCAGTATTTAAAGCGCATATTTCTTCTCCCACCGGCTTCATTTTAGAACTTTAACTTGACACATACAGAGCCACACAGTCAAGAGAAACATTTACAATTTAATAAAGAATACTTAATGTGGTCCCTTAGCACAGGCTAAAGTGCTCTGGTGAACTGGGCCCTGGGTCCTGTATAAAGAAAACTAACAATAATGCCATGTACAGTGCATTACTTTCCTATACTTTTTATCCTCAAGCTCATGGAGATATGTGTGCATGCATAACTGTAATACAAGGAGAGCAGTTTAATGCAGTACGCATCAGAATTTGAGTGCTTTATCAATGAGGGCTGGTAATTTCAGTCACCAGCTACTTCTACCAATAAAAAGGCATTCACTTATTTGGATGGCCAACCAGTCAAATAACTGTGGGCATTTCTTTGAAGATACAGTTACTCAAATGAAAGAAAGAAAAAAATTGCTATTTTTTTTACACTAGGAAAATTAAAGCTCAAATATGTACATGCAACTTCATGTTTAATGATAATTGTACTTAAGTCAGGGAATGCAGTGTTTACTTCACAGAAATCTTCCACAGGTTATACTGTACACATACATTAAAATCCAGCAGAGAATTCAGCACAGGCACAGGTACATTTGCTCAGAAAACCCAGCAATGATTGGGCAGCAGGAGCTGCTACTGGCTAAATCATCATCACTGCCCTGGCCACAAAACTGCTTATGACACCTCTGGACTAACACAGGCACTATCATAGAAGGATCTGAAAACAAAGGGGTCTATGATAGATAACACGTTAACACTGGTATAACATACATTGGTTTTATACATGTTGGTAAATTACACCTAGATCAAGAATGGAAAGACACCCAGGCTGGGTACAGACATTGGGGGAGGTTAGATCGAGTTTAAAATGGCCACTTGACCTATGGTAAGTTGGAATGGGTGGGGGGTTAGCAGGGGAGGGAGGAGCTGGAGGGATTGCGGGGGCAAGGAGGCTCAAAGAAAAAATTGAGGGGCCTGTGGAGAGATCAGGGGGGCAAGTGGAGTCTGCAGAGGGGATGGAGGGGATCAGGGGAGCAGGCAGTGTTCACAGGGGGGTCAGGGAGTCAGAGGAGTAGGCAGGGTCCCCAGAGGGGAATTAGGAGGATCAGGGGGGCAAGCAGAGTCCACAGGATGGAGCAGGAGGATCAGAAGGGCAGGCTGGGTCCACTTGTGAGTTCAGGGGATGGGTAGGGATGGGTGGGGTCTGCAGAGAGGTTGCTGGAATCCAGAAGGGTTTGGCAGGATCAGGGGGACTTGTGGGGTGTGCAGAGGGAGGAGGGACTTGGTGGGATGAGGGGGCTCTCTCCCCCCAGGACCACACAAGCCCTTTTGATTAAACCGATTACAGGTCTCTCTACCCAGGCCCAGGAGCTATTTTTAACCCCCCAACCCTTCCCTGCCCCGAAATGAACAACCTCTCCTCCCCCGGCGACCCAACATCTCCCCATCCCTTCCATCACTGGGACTTTCTTCCTCAGCTCCCAGCACCAGCGAACACTTATAAAAGCGGCACTGGGAGTGGCTTGCGGGATTAGGGAAGGAGCTTGGTGGGCTCAGGGAGAGACACAAGGGGCCAAGTGGGCTAAAAATAGCCAGGCACCAGGATGTGGGTAGGAAAAGCACAATTCTGGGATTGGGGCCAGTGGCTGGGCTTTCCCCAGCCTCAGGACTGCACTGGGACCTGTACAAACAGCTCAGATTCCAGCTGTTCAAGACAGTTAGATCAATCTAAAAATGGCCAACCTAATCTAAACTAGATTACCTCAGAGGTAGTGTTGATTTATATCAGGTCGGCCATTTTTAGATTGATTTAAGCTTTCTGAAACTTCTGTGCAGTTCGCATTCATATTGACCTAATTAGGGATTTAAGTGTAAGGTACACACCTGGGCAAACTCAGTTAGATTGGATGACTGTTTTTAATGAGATCTAACCTTCCCCTAACATCTGTATACACCCCCTGATATCTTAGAGAAGATCAATTTACAGGCTGCTATTGCACTGACTTATCGTTAGGCGACTGGACAGCAGGCAATACCCTGATTGCCTTAAGCAAATGACTGGTGGAAATGAACAACACAAATGCGATCATAACTTACACTAGTTTAGTTTAACCCCCATCTTTCAGGGGCAATTCAACTCAGATGGTGTTAAGTTACCTTGGTTCTAGGGGTTATGTCAGACTTTTTACCATGGTGGAAAGACTAATTCTATCAGCATAAAAGTCTGTTCTTCCCAGACCCAAGAAAACTGAACTAGGAGCAACATTGTTCAACTTTTATTTATAAAAGCAAATAATAAACAGTTCATACTTGTGCAGTCTTGAGGGCACACGGCAGGATCCTTGCTCTCAATAACATCACAGGTGCCATCTGGACAAGTCTTGATGCTTGGAGTGCAGGTAGAATAATTGGACGTGATTCCTATTAATCAACAAGCAAACAACTGTACTAATACTATAATGCTTTGAAAATAAGTTCATTGCACTCTTGTGGTGCATATTGGCAGACTGAAGCATAAGATAAAGTTTAAATCAAACTAATCATACTTTCCCTATAAATCCTTTACCTCCTGTTGTTACAAGTAACCTGCAAGATGACGATAACTGAAAGCAATTAAGAACACAATTTATGCTAAGTTTTCAGTTTATCTGTTTTGTCCTTCTGGCAGCCTTCTGTGCATCTTTGCTTTCAGCTATAGTATTATTTGAGGTTACTTGCAACACTAGCCACTAAAATATTCTGAAAACGAAGCTTTCAAAATGGTTCAAACTATTTCTGTGGCCTCAGATTGAAAAAAATCTACAATTAGTTGGAGGGAAATTGTGACAGAGATGGGAGATAATGAACAAAACATCAGTTTTGCTATGAAACCCTTGAAAGTACCACTTGTCACATGAGCATTGTGTATTAAGTGTACGAGAGCATAAAAATCAGTTTGGACTGGGACCTCTGCAGTACCAGCCTGTATATGACTGGTTACATTTAGCTTTGGGTTTTTATGGAATCTGAGCTGTTCTGAATCCAGGTCAGGATTGCAGGAAACTTAAACCAGTATGACTGAGAAGACAGTAACTCAGTGGTTACAAATACAACACCTACCACTACTGTGTTGGATAGACAGCAGAACTAAATTAAGAATGATGATTTCCCCTTTAATACAACTTTCATTCCTTTTCCATGTGTAATTTGTACAATGATAACAGCTAATGCACTTCAAGGTTTAATATATTTGGTTAGGTGTTCAGCTGACATAAAATGGGAGTAGATCCCCTGAAGTTAAAGGCTAGGGACAGAAGTTAGACATAAACCAGTCTAAGTGATCGGAAACCAGTTCAAATCTGAAAAGAAGTTCAGTGCACATAAACCGCTTTCAAAATGGCCAAAACCAGTTTAAACCTGGATGGATGTAGTATCAGACTTAACTGATTTAGATTAAATCAGTTTATTGAACTTCTGTCCCAGATCCCTTCCAGATTCAAATTAACTCACAATTCCCCAACATCCCAGGGTGCTTTGCACCTCTCCCACAAACTCCTTTTCACAGGGTGGTGGGCTAGCCTTGGCCCAAGCTGTCTGCTCCATCCCAGCACGGAGGCATGGTTTAGCACCCCCAGCTTCTGGTCTGGGCAACTGCAGGCATGTTGCTACATTTCCAGAATCAAAAGTGACTGTTTTTTCACTTGCTTATTGGTTCAATCTCTGCAGTTTAGACTAACTTGTGAAGATTACAACAATTCAGCCTTAGGCTTTTTGACTGACTGTACTTAGCCAAAGAGACTATGCTAGCCTAGCATAGCTAAGGATCTGGCCCATTATACTGCATAAGTACATACCTTCTCCACTTCCCTGTCTCCACTTGCATTTCCCTGTTAGCACTCCTAAGCCACCACATTCTTCACATTCAATGCGGTGCTTACTCACAGCACAAGAGTCTGGGCACTCCTCCTCTCTCTCAAGAACTGTAGAATAGGGAAGCAGAAAAACATGTGCTGTCAGCAGTAGAATCAGAAGGGGTGAATACATATGCAGTTCAGCTGGACACAAATGAAATTTATGTAATTAAAAGCAGGGAAATATATCCTGAGTTAATACCTTGACATGCCCTTTAATGAATTTAGAATATAACAACAAGGATATCAGACTACCTATACTCGTCTCATGAAATAAAAAAGGGTGGAGCAAGTGATCTTCTCTCCAGCTGCTTAGTGCAACATATGCAACTGTAGAAGTGAAACATGGGCCAGTAACACAGACTTTATTATACAAACAGTAAGAGGCCCAGGTGCTAGTGGCTTCAATCAAGCATGAGAGTAAGGCAGGATGCTTGACTTCTGAACTGGTGCAGCATTATTATATCAATAAGCAACAGGAAGCATATGAATTTTGTATGCTAACATAAAACTATCTGGAGGAATAACGTTTTGGACTCAGGTCCATTTCCTCAAACTGTGCCAATTCAAATCCTGAGATCATCACATGATACATCAGAAGAGGCAATCAAGACTAAAATTTTTTGCATACACTGTTAATTGTCTGAGGGAGCTAGGAAGAGTTTGGGGGACCTGTAGTATACTTCTGACCTGCTCTTGTCTTGCAGAGTTGTTACAGAATTTTAGTTTTGTAGAGAAGGGACAGTCTGTATAATCTAAGCTCCTGAAGCCTGAGATGCAGTGAAGCCCATCCAGTTCTATATCATGTATCACAGCAAACACAGAATAGGATCAAGGGCCAGATAAACTCATTTGGATTCAATCTGATAACTTTATGCAACTGAACCATGGCTGCCATAAAAATGCAGAGAAATGAATACAAGTATATAAACAGAAAATACAAAAAAAAGGAAAAATGAAAGAGAACCTATCCTTAACATAGACCACATGTGTTACTTTACTGTCCAGTTTTTCACTAGTTTAATGTTCCCTTGCCTGCTTTTAAGCTGCCTGCCAGATTAGATTATGAACAACAAAATGAGAAGCACTCAATAGAGCCTCACTCCTCCAGGTGCTATTTTTCTATCATTCTGTTGCTTTGAATAAAGTTTGGGATAGTAAAGACAGCATATAAACTACTGCTCCATCTTATCATTAAGAAGTTGTCAGTTGCTAAATAGCTAATTTTCTATCCCTTGCAATAAGTTGTCAGAGGGTGTGGTAAGCCATGTACGTATAAGTCTAAATCTTTATGACATGTTCTGCATGCATGTTTAGAAAGCCAAACCTAGAGAGAAGCATGTGTGTATGAAGTACATGTTTAGAACACACATGTACAAAACAGTCTCATAAAGAAAATGGCCTTAAACTATGAGGGCCTGCATTTACAGTACCTACTTTTGATCTAACATTGTGTCTAGAAACATCAGTTAGAGGGAGGACTCATCTGAGGCCTCAAAGCTGAACACAGACAGTGTTCAAGATCAGTTTTTTCAGGTTTCTGTCTATAGTTAAGTTCACTCTTTTATAGATCATATTACAAGAGCACTTACCAAATTATTAAAAACTCAAATAGATAACAGTGACCGATCATTCTAAATCACTAAAATTGTACTTGATGAGGAGGAAAAGGAACAGGAGAAATTTAAGTCCACAAACCAAACCCTTACGTGTTCCTTCCAACACAATAGTGAGCTGAGTTTTGGCATGTTTCTTGCTCTGCTTGTCCATTGCTATAACAGGGTATTGTATTTCTTTGCATTCAGGTCTCTGCAGCACAGAAGAATCATTCACATACAGGCTTCCATATTTCTCTTCTCGGGCCTGAAGTATTCCCACAGCATAGCAGCTAACATTGGGGGGCAGCAATCTGTAGGTAATGTTTACTCCACAGAACTTCATACAGTTTTCGATGCAGACTTTTCCAATCTAGGCTCAAACAACAACAAAGAGATAACAAACCACAACAGCAGGGCAGTATCATTTTACTGCCAAAAATATCTTTGGATAATTCAAGCTAGTGAAATTCTGACATGCAATATTCAAACTATAATTACTGTTCTTACTTAGCCCCCAAAATAAAGCATCTCAGTGCCTCACACCCCTCAGTGTATTTTCTTCTTGCAGCACCTTGAGAGGAAGAGAAGCAGCAGCAGCATTAGCACTTTTATAAATGAGAAAAAGCAGAGGCCAAACTTAAAGGCCCAGATTCCCAATGTTAAGGTGCCTTGTTCCCAGTAAAATCAGAGAGCAACCTATGTGATATGGGAGACACTGGTTCAATTGTTTTTCTTCAATTACAGCAGTTCTCACTCATTTTACTGTCCAGACCATAAAAGGAAAACTATGGAGACTTTCTAATAATCTAGAAAATGTTTCTTTTATAAGTTCATAATACCAGAGAACTTAAAGTAGTGCACTGCTTCAACATGCACATACTAATATACTTACATACTATACATACTAATGTACTATACTCATACATACTAATGAGCACATTCTAATGTACTCATAATAATGCATATTCATACTAAAAATAAAGCAGAATCTGCATGACCATGTTTATTCTACATTTTTCAACTTGCTTAGTTTCATGTTTTTTAAAAAGTATAAGCATTTGCAATGTAGGCCAGAAACTTTTTTTTATTAAAATTTCTGTTGGACTTGTGAAAGGGAACAAAATAAATTCCTATGTGTAGTCTTGACTCTAAATACAAACAATGAGGTTGCCATTTCGAAGAGAAATTTTAAAGAGTTCTTGCATATCTGAGCAAATGGATACATGTGAAAACCCTACCTTTCCTTGAGGAAACTGCAGCTAGGCTCACAAGGACAGGGCACTGAAATATAGGTTAAGAAATCTGTGTTCTGGTCCCACCTCTCCAATGACTTTGATCAAGTTCACTGTTCTTTTACCTCCCTCACTTTGCATGCTTGTGTATTTAGATTGCAACCTCAAGTTGGAGGATATACATATTGTACATTATCTAGAACAATAGAGTCCTGTTCTCATTTGGGTTTTTAGTAGGGCTGTCAATTAGTTCATAGATTCATAAATGCTAGGGCTGGAAGGGACTTCGGAAAATCATTGAGTCCAGCCCCCTGCTCCAGGGGCAGGAAGTCAGCAGGGATCATAGGATCACAGCAAGATAAATGTCGAAATGTCTCTCGAAGGTGTTCAAGGTAGGGGCTTGAACCACCTCTGGCGGCAGTCTATTCCAAACCTTGGGGGCTCAGACAGTAAAGAAGTTCTTCCTTATGTTTAGCCTGAAATGGTCATGGATGAGTTTCTGACTGTTCGACCTTGTCTTCCCTTGGGGCGCTCTGGTGAACAGACGTTCCCCCAGATCCTGATGAGCACCCCTGATAAACTTATAGGTGGCCACCAGGCCATCCCTGAGCCTGTGCTTTTCCAGGCTGAAGAGTCCCATAGCTCTCAGCCTCTCGTCATAAGGTCTGTTTTCCTGACTTCTGATCATGTACGTGGCTCTCCTCTGCACTCTCTCAAGTTTCTCCATATTCTTTTTTAATTGTGGAGCCCAGAACTGGACACAGTACTCCAGCTGCGGCCTCACCAAGGCTGAGTACAATGGGAGAATGACGTCCTGGGATTTGCTTCAGAAGCATCTATGGATACAGGCCAGCATTTTGCCCGCTTTACTAGCCGCAGCATCACATTGAAGGCTTATGTTCATCTTGTGGTCAATCATGACCCCTAAGTTCCTTTCGTCTGTAGTGCTAACAAGCGTAGCACTGCCGAGCCTATAAGCATGCTGCAGGTTTTTCCCCCCAAGGTGGAGAACCTTGCATTTTTCAGTGTTAAACACCATCAGGTTCTCATCCACCCATTTCCTGAGCCTGTCAAGGTCAGCCTGGATCGCCCTCCTGTCCTCAGGTGTGGATGCTTTACCCCAGAGTTTGGTGTCATCGGCGAACTTGGCCAGTCCACTTCTGACACCAATGTCCACAACATCATTGATGAAGATGTTAAATAGTACAGGCCCTAGTACAGAGCCTTGAGGGACCCCACTGCTCACAGCATACCACGACGATTGACTTCCATCAACCACCACCCTCTGGGTCCTACCGCGGAGCCAATTCTCCAGCCAGCAGATCATGGTGAGGCTGAGGCCACAGTGGGCCAGTTTTGCCAAGAGGTGATCATGGGATACCAGATCAAAGGCTGTTTTGAAGTCAAGATATATGATATTAATCTCCTCTCCCTTGTCCAGGTGATAGGTCACCTGGTCATAAAGGAAATGAGATTGGTCAAGCAAGACCTACCCGCAACAAACCCGTGCTGGCTATCCCTCAAGAAGTTGCCGTCAGCCAGTCTATTAAGGGTGGCCTCTTTGATAATTTTTTCCAAGACCTTCCCCGGGATAGAGGTCAAGCTGCTGGGCCTGTAGGTTGCTTGATCTACTTTCCTCCCTTTCTTGAAGATAGGCACCACATTGGCCTTCTTCCAATCTTCGGGTGCTTCACCAGAGCACCAGGACTTCTCAAAGATCCGTGCCAGGGGCTGAGCTATGATGCTAGCCAGGTCCTCGAGTGCCCTGGGGTGTAAACTGTCAAGGCCAGCTGACTTGAAGGTATTCAGCCTCTCAAGGTGTTCCCTTCACAAGGTCACCATTGATGGAGGGTAAGGCATCTCCATCGCCCGGGCCTCCCTGTCCCGTAGTGGGCAGGGGGGTCCCCATGGGACTGGTGAAAAACTGATGCAAAGTACCCATTTAGCAAGTTTGCTTTTTCCTGATCGTCAGCTGTCAGTTGTCCCATCTGGTTTAGCAGGGGGCCAATAATGCCCTTGCTTTTCTTCCAGCTCCCCACATATCTAAAAAAGGACTTTTTATTGTCCTTGATATTTGTAGCTAGCTGGAGTTCCATTGCAGCTTTGGCTTCCCTGGTTTGCTCTCTACAGGTCTGGACCAGTGCAGAGTATTTCTCCTTGGTGGTGGATCCAGTCCTGCATCCTTTGTAGGTCTTTCTTTTAAGATGCAGGAGGTCCGCTAGTTCCCTAGAGAGCCAAGGGGGCTGCTGTGCCCTTTTGCTGCCTTTCCTCCGAGACGGGATTGACTTTGCTTGTACATCCAGGATTGCTCCCTTGAGGAGCAACCACTCATCCTGCACTCCCCTCCCCTTTCGGCTAACTGACAAGCCTCCTTAGCTTGATGAAGTCAACTTTCCTGAAGCCAAGGACTTGTATATTACTGACTGACTTGCCAGCTTTACGGTGGATGGTGAAGGTGATCAGCTCATGGTCGCTGTCACCCAGCTTCCCTTCAATTGTTAGGTCACTGATTAGGTTGTCCCCAGTTGCCAGTACCAAGTCAAGCAGCGCTTTACCTCTCGTCGGCCCACAGACTTCTTGCATCAGATAGAGCTTGTCCATGCATGAGAGAAAGCTTTGCGACTGCTCAATTTGGCCGAGCGTTCTTCCCACGAGATGTCTGGGTAGTTGAAGTCTCCCATGACAACCATGCACTGGGAGCATGTGGCCTCAGTCAACTCCCTGGCAAACTCCTGGTCAAGGTCTTGATCCGGGGCAAGGAGTCTGTAGTAGACTCCCACCATAGTGTCTCCTATGCCATGGTTAATTGTTGTAATCGTGGTTAACATGCATGATTAACGCATTAGTTGGTGTTTGCATTATTTTTTTTAACACATTAATTGTACACATGGTTTTGGAGCCCAAGCCCAGGCTCCACTCTGCTGCAGTCACTGCTGCCTCTTGGCTGCTCAGTGGGGTGGTGGTGGCAGCACGGAGGACCACAGGGCAGCCTGGGTGCAGGCTCTGGGCAGCTGTAGCAGGGGGGAAGAGGCACACACAGACATATATAAGGAGCCACAGCCTTCACGTGGCCAGGAATACAGCCCAGTGGCATGTAGAGCACTGCCCAGCAGGTAAGTCTGTGGGGGAGAAGGGGCGTGGGGGCAGATTGAGGCCCCCATGGTGAGGGAAGGAGTGGAGCAGGAGCTGGAGTGAGTGGGGCATGAGATGGAGGGGCACATGGCCTCCAGATCTGTGCACCTGGTGGAGATGCACTGCAGACTACGGCTCTTTATGCCCTGCTGCCTTTGCCTCAGGAGCCACATACTGCCTGCGCCGCACATCCCCTGCCTGCCTGGTGGTGGGAGGCACAGCATGGCTTCACGCTGCTCCTGGGGCAATGGCAGCAGGGCACAAAGCTCTGAGTCCACAGCACACAGCCTGCCTTCACCCTGCACACAAATCTGGGGGCCATGTGCTCCCCATGCCTCCCTGGTGGTGCACGCAGTGGCAGGAGCCATGTGACCCCCCAACACATGCCTGAACCACAGCTCCATCCCATGACTCACCCTGGCCCCAGGCACCATTCACCCTAGCCCCTGCCCCACTTCCTCCTTCATCCTGATCTGGGGGCCTCAATCTGGCCCCCACCCCTTTCTTTCCCCAAACACCTTCCCCTCCACAGACTTACCTGCTGGGACATGTCTCCGTGTGTGTGTCTGTGTGTGTCATTGTGTGCTCATTGGTGGGTCTGTCTGTCTGTCCCTGTGGCAGAGCACCTTTGGGGGTGCTTGCCACTTGAGGGCTTTCATAGGCTCTGAGGGGAGCCTGCTTTGGAGGATCAGCAGGGGAAACCTCCCCCAGGAACTATTTTAAGGTGGAAGATGTGTGGCAGGGCACTGTTGTTGCCTGCCAGTTTAAGATTGGAGCCCAACAGCCAGCAGGTACTTGATTGCGGCAGCCATTTTAGATCCCTGGCTGCCTATATAAACAGAGCAGTTTGCTGCTGGCAAGCCAGGCAGTAACATCACCTGGCTGTAAGGCTCCATGCAACAACCTGGAGGTAAGGGCAGAAGCTGCAGGGGATGGCTTGGAGGCTCCTGGTCATGGGCATGACCTAAAACTTCACCTTGCCAGGAGTGGATGGCCTGGTGGAGCT